GGAAGTGGGCTTTGGAGCTTGGAGGGCGTCTAGGAAGAGAGAAAGTGGGGGGCCGGAAGTGGGCTTTGGAGCTTGGAGGGCGTCTAGGAAGAGAGAAAGTGGGGGGCCGGAAGTGGGCTTTGGAGCTTGGAGGGCGTCTAGGAAGAGAGAAAGTGGGGGGCCGGAAGTGGGCTTTGGAGCTTGGAGGGCGTCTAGGAAGAGAGAAAGTGGGGGGCCGGAAGTGCAGGTGACGATGGGAAGACCGTGAGGGTTCCCCGGCTATGGGATGGGGACCCGGAAAGCGGCAGAGGGGAGGCTCCAGGGCCAGGGACGCCCCGGAAATGGAAACTAGGGAGCAGGCCGAGTGACCAGACTGGTGGCCCGCGAGGGTCCGCGGAGGAGAGGCCGGCGGGACTCCCGGCCGCAGCAGGGGGTTTGCTGCCCGGGGGGCGGGGGGCGGTGTTAGTCGTGGGAAGTTGACGCTGGGGGGCGGGGGCAGGAAAAGAGGCCCCGAAACTTGCCGAGAGGAGCGGAGCCTCCTCGTAAAAAGGCCAGAAGGGGAATTGGGGTTCGGGGGGCGGGGGAGAGATGGGCCAGTTGTCCCTCCGCCCGCAGTAGCGTTCAGAGCGGCGCCGGCGATTAATCGTTTAATGTGGGTTCCAGAAGGCGTATTAAGCGTTTGTGGGCTCAGCTCCCCTCGTCCTCCGCCGCCCTCTCCCCAGGGCGCGGGTTTCTCGCTCAGAGACAAGTGGGAGGGGAGCTCAGAGCGGAGGCGGCGACACCCCACGTCCTGGCCTCCGGGTCGCTCGCTTCCTCAGAATAAGGGAACGAAAGCCTCCATTTCTTGGAGAAACTCCTGACGATTTAAAACACGCGCCCATGGGGGGGAATAAGTCAGACATTGAAATCCTCGGAGGGGCGGGGGAGGGGTCCCCCGTGTGGTGAGGGGCGCGGAAGGGCTGCTCCTACCTGTGCAGACTGGGCGGCGCGGAGGCCCATGTGTCTGGCGGAGGTTCCTGTTTCTCCCTACGGAAGGCGCAGGGTCATTGCCTCGTTAGTTACGGGGGGAGGACTGTACCCGTGTGCACACATCCGTGTGAGCTTGTGGGGGGGGGGGGATAGCAGTGGATCGTCCAGAGTGGACTTCCCACCGCCCCTGCTGTCTCCCTCCCTAAAAAGAAAATTTTTTTTAAAGGTAACATTTCTTCCTTCTCCCTTTTTGCTAATCCTCACCAGAGGATATTTTTCCCATTTATTTTTATAGAGCGTGGAAGGGAGGGGGAAGAGAGAGAGATAGATAGAGAGAGAGAGAGAGAGAGAGAGACATTGATGAGAAAAACATCAATTGGTTGCCTCCTACATGCGCCCCCACCAGAGCCAGGGAACAAACCTGCAGCCCAGGAATTGAACCTGTGACCCCCCCATGCTCGGGCCAGTGCTCTACCACTGAGACACACAGGCCAGGGCAAGATTTCCTTCCTTTATTGGCCAAGTAGTGTTCCATTGTGTAAATGTACCACGTGTTTTTATCCACTCATATACTGGTGGGGCTGCTTCCAAATCTTGGCTATTGTACGTAGCACTGCAATAAACATAGGGGTGCATATATTCTTTCCAACCAGTGTTTCAGGTTTCCTTGGATAATATATTCCCAGAAGTGGAATCATGGGGTTATAAGGCAGTTCCACGTCTAATTGTTTGAGATATGGAGATTTGTTTTATAACCCAGTAGAGAACTCACAGCATTTCACTGTTCCTCCATATTAGGGGTAAATATTGCCAGTGATTCTGCTAGAACTTCTTGTGGAAACAGAGAGTGTAAGAGTCACTCTTCAGTTAGTAGGCATCTTGTATTGGGCTCAAACATTACCCTGATGCTTTGCATGCAAACGAATGTTCTGGGACTTAACCAATGAGAATCTTATGATTTCTCCAATTCCTTCACCCAACACAGCGACTTTCCTGTGATCCCTCCCCCTACTCACCTCCTTCAGTGAGAAGTAAGTCTTCACAGCAGAAACATCCGGAATTCTCAAAGTTGTATTTCGCCACAGACAACAGATCAGTATTCAGAACATGTAATGAACTCCTACAAATAATAAGCATCAGTCTAATTCTCCTAAATTTGGGCAAATGCTTTGAGCCATTCACAGGTGGCGAATAAACCTATAAAAAGATGGAACGTGCCCAGGCCAGTGTGGCTCAGATATTGGGCATTGTCTTATGGATGGAGAGAGGTCAGGGCTCATGCCTAGGTTGGGAGTTCACTCCAGCTGGGGGCACCTATGGTGTTGAACAGTGTATTCAGTGCATAGGGGAGGCAAGCAATCTCTCACACCAGTGTTTCTCTCCTTTGCTCTCTCTTTATCACTCTCTCTTCCTCTCTAATAATAGTATGTCCTCAGGTGAGAATTTAAAAAATAAAATAAAAAGAACGCCAGCCAGTTTGGCTTAGTGGATAGAGCATAAGCTTGCAGAATGAAGGATTCTGGGCTTGATTCTGGTCAAGGGCATGTACCTGGGTTTCAGCCCTAGCCCTGGTCAGGATGGGTAGGAGGCAACCAATCAATGTGTGTCTCTCACATCGATGTCTCTCTGTCCCTCCTCCCTTCCACTCTCTAGAAATCAATGGGAAAATATTCTCAGGTGAGGACTAACAAAAAATAATGAAAATAAAAAGATTGAACATGCCCCAGATCATCAAGATAAAACAGCCCTAACCGGTTTGGCTCAGTGGATAGAGGGGCAGCCTGCGGACTGAAAGGTCCTAGGTTCGATTCTGGTCAAGGGCAGGTACCTTGGTTGCGGCACATCCCCAGTTTGGGGTGTGGAGGAGGCAGCTGATCGATGTTTCTCTCTCATCGATGTTTCTAACTCTTTATCCCTCTCCCTTCTTCTCTGTAGAAAAATCAATGAAATGTTTTTGGGGAAAAAAAAAAAGATAAAATGAACGATGGGATACCCTGCACACCCATGACACTGACAAAATGTCAGTATCTCTGTAAGGAGTGGTAGGCAGGAAATGGAATGCCAGCCATTCTCTTACATTGTTAGTAGGAGAATAATTAAATCACTCCTTTCACATACGTGTATGTCACCACATCCTGATAGTGGATGAGAGTTTCTCCTGCTCCTCAGAAGTGCCAGTGTTACTTCCAGGCTGGCAAATGTGGACCAAAAGCATCCAGGTATGTGGTTGGTTGTTCTAGTGTTACGTGTCAGAGCAAAGGATAAACAATAAGATGCCCTACTGAAGTAGAATATAGTTTTCAATGTTGTTTAAAGATTTCTGTTTCTCCCTACTGAAGGCAAAATAACCTGAACTCTCCAAAAATGAAACAACCAAAATGCCTAATGAAATGCTCCTAAACTTTTCAGATATATATTTGAGGACTACTGGTTGATGTACAATAATATTAGCCACATACGTCTAAATGTATGCACAGATATTTAAACATTTTACAGGCCGACAAAACGGGCAAGTAAAAAACCATAACCCACATCTTCAGAGTATCAAGGAAACGAAAAATCCCTAAAGCCATCAGTTCCTTTGAGTCTAAAGGACATTATCAGAACAACTGTTGAAATTTTTTTTTAAATATATTTTATTGATTTTCTACAGAGAAGAAGGGAGAGGGACAGAGAGTTAGAAACATCCATGAGAGAGAAACATCATTCAGCCGCCTCCCGCACGCCCCCCACTGGGGATGTGCCAGCAACCAAGGCACATGCCCCTGACCGGAATCGAACCTGGGATCCCTCAGTCCGAAGCAGGCCTAGGCTCTATCCACTGAGCGAGCCAAACCTGTTCGGCAACTGTTGAAATTTGAATGGGGTCGAGGACTGGATTGCAGTAATGATGCGCACTCTATTTTGGTGGTTGTGTGGAGGTGATGTTGGAGAGCGTCCTGGTTTGTAGGAGAGACACACTAATGTATCGGCATCAGAGGACATCACGGAACATGGGGACCTCAGTGTGACAGGTTCCTGTCCTATGGCTCAGGAAGAGAAGTTCTCTGCACAGGACCACAACTTCTGTATCAGTCTGTGCTTGAGAAGGTTTTATAGTTACTAAAAATGGGGATTTAAGAAAACCATGATTGCCCTGACCGGTTTGGCTCAGTGGATAGAGCATCGGCTTGCGGACTGAAGGGCCCCAGGTTCAATTCTGGTCAAGGGCATGTACCTTGGTTGTGGGCACGAGGCAGCTGATCGATGTTTCTCATTGATCTTTCTGACTCTCTATCCCTCTCCCTTCCTCTCTGTAAAAAAATCAATAAAATATATATTTTTTTAAAAAGAGAGAACCATGATTTTCAGAATTGATGTAAGGAAATGGATGACTCAACAAACACAACACAGGTCCTGTTCCCTTCTCACCCTTCTGTGCTCCAGCCTTGTCAGCTGCTCCCTCCTCCACCTCATCAGCATGGCCAGCCCAGGCCTTTTAGAGAGAAAGCAGCTCAGGCCTGGAATGGGAGGTGTGCAGACTCATAGATCCTGAACCCACTGTGATGCAGGAGCTTCCAGGGAACCAAGTCAGAAAAGGGCTTTCGACCCTCCAAGTCTGTGTGTGTGTGTGTGTGTGTGTGTGTGTGTGTGTGTGTGTAATACTCCTTTCTGACCCATTTCACATCCTGAAATCTCCAATACCCCAAGGTCAAGCCACTGCCCTATTTGCTCTTCCTCACCATCATGACTAGGCTTTCTGTTCACAGACCACAAGGATGTGAATGGATGGAAGGATAGAGAGAGAGAGATGACAGATAGATGATAGATAGATAGATGATAGATAGATAGATAGATAGATAGATAGATAGACTTATAAAGTATTGGCTCATGTGATTATGGTTACTCTCAAGTCCAAAACCTGCAGTGTAGGCCTGTATACTAGATCCCAGGAGAGCCAGTGGTGCACAGGAATTCTGAAGACAGTCTGCTGAACAATTCTTTTTTGGGGGGCGGAGGGGAGTGGATGGAGGGTGGAAGGAAATCAGTCTTACTATCCTTTTCAGGCCTTCAACTGATTTGATAAGGCCTACCAACATGGGGAGGACAATCCCCTTAACTCCAAGTGCACCAACTTATTATATGTCCCCAGGCTAAATTAGTCACCTCTCCCCTCCCCTGTGTCCTAACACCCTAGTCCACAGTCAGAATATCACACCTGCTGAGAGAGGCTTGTATATTTTGTGTGCCATACTTCCTGTAGTCATTGGAAATGCAGTGTGTCCCTTTGTCAAATGTGTAAAACAGAGTACAATACTCTAGGACAGTGTTCGGCAAACTGCGGCCCCTTGAGTGTGGCTCTTCCACAAAATACCACATGTGGGTGCGCACGTACAGTACGATTGAAACTTCTGACCACACTCAAGGGGCCAAAGAGCCGCATGTGGCTCTTGAGCTGCAGTTTGCTGAACACTGGTCTAGGACATGCTGGTACTCGATCATTCTGTGCTAAATTTAATTCCCTTGGGGAACAGGAGCTGAAGGAGGGTTCTCTTCAGGTGTGGGTCTCACTATAAACATAATCACCCTTGGCAAACCATCCTGACTCCATGCTTGCAACCCCACCTCTGCTCAGTTCACCACTAAGATCACTCTGGCCGTCCCCAATAGGGAAACCCTAAAGCATTCTTGCCTTGGCTCTTGTCATCCTTAAAAAAGTCTACCCAGTGAACATGTCTAACTGAATGATAACCAGACATCTGCTGTCCCTCTCAGTACAATATGAGCTCCGTGAGGACACAGCACAAGCCCTGTTCATCTTTACACCCCTGTACCTGATAGTGACGGTCACATAAAGAGTCAGTAAATACGGGGGCGACATGTGCTGCCCGGAGAAAGTAGGTGCTGAGGGAGGTGTCTTTTTTATTTGTTTTTTTCTTTGTTTTAGTACCACCATTACAGTCCTCAGCCATCCTGTCAAATACAAAGATCATCATATTGATCATTTCCGTCTTCTTCTGCATCTGCCTGGGCATCCTGGTCCTTTGGAAATTAGGCATCGAGGAAGGTGAGAAGCAGGCTGGCCTCTGACTCTTGGGCAGGACATAGTCTGTTAAGGACTTTGGAGATGTGAGCCATGGTCTCCCCAAGCTCCTAGCCCATGACCCATCTCGACATAGAAAGAATGCACTTTCTTAGTACTGAGCCCCCACACTCCACAGTAGCCATTGGAAATCATGTATACGAAAGTGTAGGGGTCAATGGGGATTATAGGGGAACATACGTAATACTTTCAACAATAAAGATTTAATAAAAATAAATAAAATGCTTTCCCTACGAAAGTGTCAAATTTAAAAATCATACATAATTGTCAGTTAGCATTATACCATATTATGTTTATTTTTAATGTTCATAGTTATTATAACTAGTATTTTCAGTTTGATGATACCTTCAGGGGCCATTGTTTTCACAAGTGAAAGTTCCTCCTCATAACCAGCCTCCTTACGCTCCCTGAGGCCTAAGGCAAAGAGAAATCCTTATGTTGCTTCAAGGGCATCCCACAGTGACTACTGTTGTTGGGGTAAGTACCTCAGAGGTGAAAGAGCCTGCAGCCCGTGGTGGTAGCCTTTAGGGCTAAGAGGCCACTTTTTTCAGCCTCAAAGTCACTCAGATACAGACCCTAAATTTTTTTTTAAATTTCTCGTTTTCATTCAATGACAAGAAATATTGGGCTAATTTTTTTCCTTTTTTCAATTTTGACCTTCTAGTTCTTCCTCCTACTCTGTTCTGCATCTGAAATCTATAGGTTCCTAAATGTCAACTCTGAAAATAAAACATGAGGGTAGAGACAGCTATTTTTCTATACAGTTATTTATTTACTAGAGGCCCAGTGCACGAATTCGTGCACCAGTGGGGTCGCTCGGCCTGGCCTGTGGGATCTGGCTGAAACCAGCTCTCTGACATCCCCCAAGGGGTTCTGGATTGCAAGAGGGCACAGGCCAGGCCAATGGACCGGAACGATTGGCCGGACCCCAGCAGCAAGCTAACCTACCGGTCAGAGAGTCTGTCCCTGATGGTCAGTGCATGTCACAGTGAGTGGTTGAGTGGCCTCAGCATATCATTAGCATATTATGCTTTGAAAGGTTGAATGGACAACCGGATGACCGGATATTTAGCATATTAGGCTTTTATTATACAGTGGGGCCTTGACTTACGAGTTTAATTCGTTCCGTGATGGAGCTTGTAACTCAAATTACTCCTATGTCAAATCACTGTGACGTTCGCTGCGCCAACTAGCGGTGGGGTATCTGAAGCTGGCTCCTATGTAACCCGAATTTTAGTTCGCAACTCAAAGCAAAAAATCGGCCGAGAGACTGCTCATATCTCGAAAAAACTCGTTAGTCAGGACATTCGTAAGTCAAGGCCACACTGTATAATACGATTGAGTCGTCGCTGTTTTTGTCCAAGATGGTCTCGTCAAAATCGAAGGTCAGGAGGAAGCGCGGCGCGCCCTGCGCAGCCATCCCGCCGTCCTCTAGGGCAGTTTTGTCCTGAATGATCCAATATTTTGTGTCGTCCCACGGAGTTCCTCAAATAAAAGGGGCAAGGACCTCTGAGCTTCCCCGGCAGGGTGCGGAGCTTCGGCCTCAGAAGTCTGTTCCGGCTGAGTGTGAAGCTGAGTGTGAAGCGATGAGAGTGGAGAGAGGGGTTGGGGGAGGTATTGGGGCGCAGGATGGAGCGGGGGTGCTTGCAGGAGCTGGAGGGGCCGCGGTGTCTCATGCACCCTCGGGCTTCTGGGCTGCGGCTCACGAGTGCCTCCAGTCCGGCGGGGCCGTGGGTGATGTGCTTCGGGTCGTCCCCTCCACCTGCCTTCCATTCCACCTCCCTCCCACCCCCGCCCAGGCTGCTGCGCTTCCTCTTTAAATGCCCGAGAGCCAGAGCCACCGCAGTCCCCGCACATCACAAGCGCATCCCCAAATTCATTTATCAAGTCTAGTAGTTTTTGAAGGAGTCTTTGGGGTTTACTATGTACAATATCATGTCTTCTGCGAAAAATGAGTTTTACTTCTTCTTTCCAATTTGGATACCTTTTATTTCTTCTTCCTGTCTGATCGCTATGGCTAGCACTTCCGGTACCATGTCGAACAGGAACGGTGAGAGTGGGCATCCCTGGGTTGTTCCTGTTCCTAGGGGACGTGGTTTTAGTTTTGCATTGAGTATGAGTTGGCTGTCGTTTGTCATATATGGCCTTTATCATGTTGAGATACGCTCCCTCTATTCCAACTTTGCTGAGAGTTTTTATCAAAAATGGGTGTTGGATTTTGTCAAATGCTTCTTCTGCATCCATTGATATGATCATGTGATTTTTGTCTTTCAGTTTGTTTATGTGATGTATCACGTTTCTTGATTTGCAAACATTGTACCAGCCTTGCATCCCTGGAATAAAACCCACTTGATCATGGTGTATGATCTTTTTAATAGATTGCTGGATGCAATTTGCTAATATTTGTTGAGAATGTTAGCATCTATGTTCATCAGTGATATTGGCCTGTAATTCTCTTTATTCATGGTGTCTTTATCTTGTTTTGGAATTAGGATAGTGCTGGCTTCATAAAAAGAGTTTAGAAGAGTTCCTTCCTCTTGGGTTTTCTGAAATAGTTTGAGGAGTATAGGTGTTAGTTCTTCTTTGAATGTTTGGGAAAACTCCCCCGTGAAGCCATGTGGACCTGGGCTTTTGTTTGGTGGGAGGTTTTTTTTATTACTGCTTCAATTTCATCGGTTGTTATTGGCCTATTCAGGTTTTGTTATTCTTCCTGATTAAGTTTTGGGAGATTGTATTTTTCTAGGAATTTGTCTATTTCATCCACATTGTCCAGCTTGTTGGCATATAGTATTTTCTTATAATCCTTTGTATTTCTGTGGTGTTTGTGGTTACTTCTCCACTTTGTTTCTGATTTCATTTATTTGGATCTCTCTCTTTGTTACTTGGTGAGTCTGGCTAATGGTTTATCAATTTTGTTTATCCTTTCAAAGAATCAGCTCTTGGTTTCATTGCTATTTTGTATTGGTTTTTTAGTCTCTATGTTATGTATTTCTGCTCAATCTTTATTACTTCCTTCCTTCTACTTACTCTGGGCTCTTGTAGTTCCCTTTCTAGTTCTTTAAGTTGTAGGATTACATAGTTTATTGCTGATTTTTCTTGTTTTTTGAGGTATGCCTGTAGTGCTATGAGCTTTCCTCTCAGGATGGCTTTTGCTGTGTCCTAGAGATTTTGGGTTGTTGCGGTGCATGTTCATTTGTTTCCAGGAAGTTTTTTATGTCTCTCTTGATCTCCTTGTTAACCCATTCACTGTTTAATAACATGCTATTTAGCCTCCATGTGTTTGAATGTTTGTGGGTGTTTTTACTGTAGTTGATTTCTAATTTCATTCCACTGTGATCTGAGAAGATGCTTGATATGATTTCAATCTTTTTGGACGTGTAAAGACTTGTTTTGTGTCCTAACATGTGGTCTATCTTTGTGAATGATCCACGTGCACTTGAGAAGAATGTATATTCTGCTGTGTTGGGGTAAAATGTCCTATAAATGTCAGTTAAATCCATCTGATCCAGTGTGTCCTTTAGAGTCTCTGTTTCCTTGTTAAGTTGTTGTCTGGAAGATCTGTCGAGTGAAGTCAGAGGGGTGTTAAAGTCCCCTCCTATGACTGTACTGTTGTCAATTTCTCCATTAAAGTCCTCTAGAATTTTTTTTAAATATTTAGGTGCACCTGTATTGGGTTGAAGATATGTTTGCCAGGGTTATATCCTCTTGTTGGATTGATCCCTTTAGTATTATGTATTGACCTTCATTGTCTCTTGTGATGGCCTTCATTTTAAAGTCTATTTTGTCGGATATGAGTATAGCTACTCCAGCTCTTTCTTCTTTTCTATTTGCATGGAAAAAATTTTTCTATGCTTCACTTTCATCCTGTAGATGTCTTTTGTTTTGAGGTGGGTCTCACAGACATCATATAGTTGGGTCTTTTATTTTTTTTTGTACCCATTCAGCTACACCATGGCTTTTGATTGAAGCATTCAATCCATTTACATTTGGGTTATTATTGAAAGGTACTTATTTATAGCCATTTTAATTCTGTGAGGCCAGGTTTCTCTCTGTGTTTTTTTTTGTTTTGTTTCGTGTTTTTTTTGTTTTTGTTTTTTTTTTGGGGGGGGGGGTTCTCTCTGTGTTTGTTCTTCTCAGCAATTCCTTACAGCAATCCCTTTAGCATTTCTTGTAATGTTGGCTTGGTGGTGATGAACTCCTTTAGCCTTTTTTTGTCTGGGAACCTCTTTATTTGACCATCTATTTTGAATGATAGCCTTGCTGGATATAGTAATCTTGGTCTCAGATCCTTGCTTCTCATTACCTTGAGTACTTCATGCCATTTCCTTCTGGCCTGTAGACTTTCTGATGAGAAATCAGGTGTCAACCTTATGGAAACATCTTCGTAGAGCACAGTGGAGGTACCCAACATGCGGGTTTGTGGTCACAGGTACCGGGCCAATGACAGACAGTGGGCAGGGCCGGGAATGGAGCAAGGGGGCAATGTGTGCAGCATTCTTTCACAATGACTCAAAGGGACGCAGGCCCGCTTCACCACACCCCTCCTCCTCCTCACCGGTAGCACTAAGCGCACCAATGAGCAAAGCGCTTGAAATCTGGCAGCACTAAACCACTAGACTCCACCGCAGGATGCATCTGAGTCCCAGAAGTTCCCCAGCGGTCAGAGCAAGCCCCTCACCACCTCGGTCCTCACCGCCTGTGTCGGCTTTCAGTCCGTGGAACTCCCTGTCCTTGGCACTTTTTCTGAGGGTCGAGATGGAGGGGTCTGGGTCTAAAGGTGTCGGCCGGTCTTCTTGCTCGTGCTTCTACTTTGGGAACCTGCTGCTCCGCGCTGTGAGTTGGGAAATTGAATCCGGGCGAGGACAGCTGAGGGATGGAATGGGGGGGAGCCCACGGTGGGGGTGGGGCACAGGCCCTCCGAACCCTGGGCTATCATCTCTGCGGGCGCCTATCAGTCTCCAGGTGACTACATAACTGGCTGCATCTTCCCAGGTAAGAGGGACGGAAATGAGCCTGTGACTTGTCACAAATAGTCCTGGGCGAAGGGACAGGGAAGAAGATGGGAGAAAGGACGAAGCCCCCTCATCCACCCCGAGCTGTTATAGCACGCCCCACCCACCCGCCTCACTAAAGGCTTCTGCAAAGTGGGAGCCGAGCCCCTGCCATCTGCACGCGAAAAGAACAAGGGCCGCCAGGTCATCAACTGGTTTGCTTGCTGTCCAGAATAGGGGAGGGGCGCGTAGTTACCTTTATTCCCGCCGCTGCATTCCTCCCTCACAGGTGCTCCCTCTCTGGGCTACACATTCACAGTCACTCCTAATGGACAACCGTGGTGTGAAATTCAAGGCCAGGTCAATGGGAACACATTTCTTCATTATACCTGTGGTGGCGACAGGGTCAGACTCATCAGTGTTCTGGAGATGAACGCCACACAGCCCTGGAGTGACCAGAGAGACGCTCTGCAGTACGTGGTGGAGGAGCTCAAGAAGACCCTGCTGGACATTAGAGCAGACATTCCTGCAACCAGCGGTACGTTTACAAAACCCAGGGTGGAGGCAGAACAGAGGTGTAGGGTGAGGGATCAATTGTGTTTATGTAAATGTGGGAAGTCCATCCCACCCAAGAGCCTCGGGAGTCACTGTAGGACACAGAGGACAGAGCAGGACCAGGAAAGCAGAGGGGAGCAGAGGGCTGGACACCAGGTGGGGACAAAGGCTCTGTCAGGCCCAAGGCTGACCTCTTTCCCACGGTGCTGTGGGACAGGTCCTCTCTCCCTGCAGGGCAGCATGATGTGTGAGCAGGACTCCAATGTACTCACCGCTGCATCCTGGGAGTTCGGACTGGATGGACAGATATCTCTCCGCTTTGACACAAAGAACAGACACTGGACAATATTGCACGGTGAAGGCATTCTGTTAAAGCAAACATTGGCGAGTGACAGAGCTATGACCGATCTCCTTGTTAGGACCTCAGCTGGAGACTGTAGGAAGTGGCTTCAACAAGTTTTGTGTCCCATGAGCCCAAAAGGTAACTCTACAGAGGAAATGAACTTGTAGGTCCCTTGAAATGACATTCACACTGTGTGTGTGTGTCTGTGTGTTGTGTGTGGTTGGAGAAAGTGACCCATCCACCACGGTGAGGGATTTTTGGAGAATAAGGGCCATAGGAATGTTCTGCGATCCCTCGTTGGGTTTCTCACTTCCTCACGTCTTTGCCTGTACATGACTTTGGACCACTCACTCACCGGGGATTCTTGCTGACTGCAAACCTGCGGGCACTGTTCTGTTTCCAGGACTTTTCCTTGTCCTGTTCCCTCTTCTCAGCATCATGTGTCTTCATCTCACCTGGTCTACTTCCGGAAATCCTTTAACACCACCTCACATCAGCCCTAGGAGGATTCTCTGCCACCTCCCTCAGGTGTCACCTCCTATTCTGTCCCAGCAGGAGTGATTGTTGTAACCCTTGCTCCCCCCGTTAGCTGTGTGAGCCCCAAGGGGCCGGGGCCCATCTCCTCTCTTTGCTCCAACCCCAGCCTCTGGCACTGTGGCTGCCACAGGTGGAGGGTAGAAACTGCACAATAGGATGACCTGGGACAGCAGGGGCTGAGGGGCATCTCCATGGAACTGGGTTCTGCACGGTTGTCACTCTCATGTTTCCATTACAGCTGCACCAACCACTGCCACAGGCACAGTCCCGTCCAAGGCCACCACCAACACGCCCATCACTTCGGTCCTCCCTGTGATCCTCACCTGTGCAATCATAGTTGGCATCTTAGGCTGGGCCCTTAGAGTAACAGGTACTGAGGGCGTAATTACAGGTACCATGACAGGTACTGATCGATGGCACATGCACTTCCTGAGCAGCATTTCAAAACATATGATGAGTGCAAATTGGGTCCCTGAATGGTTTGCCTCAAAACAAGGAAAGTTCTATTGGGACGGTATCCACAAATTACCTGAAAGATGGGGGGAATGTGTAGCTAGCGATAGACAGAACTTTGAATAAAGCACTTTTGATGTATCTTCTGAAATTGTCGTGTTTTCTTTGATTACAAAATCCGCGATATTAAATGGTACACCCAATGAGAGAAATGGACCATTGTTGTGTTGAGGTGAAGAGTATTAGGGAGTGAAATGGAGAAGCCCTGGTAGGTTGTTAGTCGTCATTCCCCTTATTAATTTATAAAGACTGAAATGTAGAAATATAACAGAATAAGTTGTATTTGTTAAAAAAAGAAAGTTTGGCTTTGATATAAACGCTGCCCTGACTCAGGCGTGCCTGGCCAAGAACCAGTGTTTAGAACAGGAGCAGAGTGGGCTTTGGGGCGCTTCTGACCGTCTCATGTGGCGTCACTGTTCGCCAGGGCAGGCATGTCAAGTACTGTGTCAAGGCCGAGGGAATGGCGTGTAACGCACTACACAGAACCACAAGCCTGGGCACCTGCATAAGGACTCCATCCGGACACAGATATGAGTGGGGCCTCCGCTACCTGTGGGCAATAAGGACTCGGGGTCCGACCTCCCCATGCTGGAGCCTGGCTGCAGCGAAGGCAATGCTCAGAGCCCTGCAGGACTTCTCCCCACACAGGTGCGGCCGCCTGCGGTGCGACCCCCGCCGCTTCTCTCTCCACCCACGGACCCTCCAGTGGCTGGGAGTCTGCGCCTGATGATCGCTTCTAAGGAAGGCTCCCCCCGCGGTGTGTGAGCTGCGTGTGATTCTATTGGCTCACCGGGGAGGTCTCCCCTAATAAACCTGGCATCTGGGACTCAGAGGGGCCATGGGAAGCCGCCCAGTGTGTGCTCCTGTGCTCCAGCCACCCCGGGCACCAGTGCAGCCTGCGGGGCGAGGGCTGCCCATCCCAGGAAACAGGAGGCCCTGCAGCCTTGGGCACTGGCAGTCAGAGAGCGAGGCAGACTCAGGAGGGGACAGCTGGGCATCGCAGGCAGGCCGCCCCTTGGAGGCCACGTGTCCTCAGACTCCGCATTGAACTTGGATTTTCACAGGAAACAGCCAAGGAGCAGCAGCCCCTGCAGGTCCCTGGGAGGGAGCCCGGGCGTGGGCCCTCCACACAGACCTGCACGGTGACCCCCAACATCGGTCGTGATCAGCGTCAGAAGAAATCAGCCTCCAGCCCCTCCAAGAACTGCCCTCCCCTCCAGCTCCATCTGCAAGCCATGGCCAGGCCAGCCCCGGCCTCAGCGTTCCTGCACACATGCCCCGGGTGGAACTGGGTTCCGTCCCCAACCTGGTCCTCCAGGTTGGATTGGTCTCCCAGCCCGACGCAGCCTGTGAGTCCACCCTCAATGCCAGCAGGGCTCTGTCTGAAGAGGCACTGGCTTTGGAAATCTGTGCTTTTTTTAAAAAATATATTTTATTGATTTTTTACAGAGAGGAAGGGAGAGAGATAGAGAGTTAGAAACATCGATGAGAGAGAAACATCGATCAGCTGCCTCCTGCACATCTCCCACTGGGAATGTGCCCGAAACCAAGGCACATGCCCTTGACCGGAATCGAACCTGGGACCTTTCAGTCCGCAGGCCGACGCTCTATCCACTGAGCTAAACCGGTTTCAGCAGAAACCTGTGCTTTTGAGACACTTTTTTATTTAATGGATTTCTGGCTCCTGGTGGGTAAAGGCAAAGGTGCTCACTGGCTCCTGACAGCTATTCACAATGCCCAGCGCCCCTGCTTCTCACTGCCCCTCCTTCCTGGTGACCTTGGGGTGCCCCTGAGCATGCAGCCCCACCCGCTCTCTTGCCAGCACCAGCATCACAGGTAGGAGACCTCTGTGTGTAACTGTCTTTTCAGTTCAAGTACAAATCACACAGGTAAGGAAGCCAGTGCAATGAGAGGCAGGAAATAGAGCCTAGAGCTGGCCTTGGCTATCGAAGGCCTTTGTGTGTGTGCAAAACCATGTATATGTGTGTATATGTGTTTGTGTGTGGAGATTGAGCTGATGTGCATGTGTATGGGTGTGTGCATGTGTTGCTGTGTGTACACTTTTACATGTGTGTTGTGCTTTGCATGTCTGGTTGAGTGTGCGTGTGAGCTGCATGTGTTAGGGCGGGTGCATATGTGCAGATCTTCCGTTCTGCTGTTTCCCTGACAGCAGCCTGCACACCGGGTGTGGGGCCCGCCGCCTCCACTGCCCCTACAACTCCATCCCCGATCCTGGGGGAAATCAGCAGAGCCTCCACCCTGGCACCATAGGAAGGGAAGCTGTCCTTGATGGGGTCACTTGGGGTTTGCAGCCTTTAGCCAGGCTACTCGGACTCTGCTTCCCCCTGGTGGTCAGAATTAGAATCGCATATGATCATCTGTGGGCTGGGCACCCCCTAGAGAGCGTCTGGTCCACCACCCTCATGAACTGGTGAGGACGGCAATCTGATCCTCAGAAGGGTTGATAAACCTGCCCGAGGTCACAAAGAAAGTCGTCAGCGGCCCAGGACTATCCTGGCTCCTCAGTGCCTCCTGACTGACAGGTTAAGGGTGACACCTAACACTCATCAGGGAGGTTGAGTCCTGTCTTGGGGTCAGGCAGATGGGGTGGGTCCTGGCCAGGCCATCACTGGTTGGGACACCAGACAAGGGACTCAGCTCCAAAATCTGGATCTCCCCCTTAACAGTAGAGCCCCTTGCCAGCTTCTGGATGGGCTGGATGGGGGTCACTAGGCTCCAATGTGGTTGGCACAGCACCTGGCACACAGTAGGTGCTCAGTGAATGCTTTTCCTGCTACTGCTGCTTAAGGTGGAAACTAGGGTCCACGAGGGGGTGTGGTTCATTCTTCCTCCACAACCACGTGACTACATTCAAGTCTCATCTTCGGTGGGAGGAGAGGGTGACCCTGGGATCTGAGAGGCAGCTTCAGAGAGACCTCTCCCTGTTCATTCCTGTGCCACGGGAGGTGGCCACTGCTATTCCAGAATCTCCCAAGGTTGCCTGGCCACAGGCATCACCTGGGGAATTAAGAGCACAGACTCCTGGCCTCCAGCCCTGAACACTTCCATCCCGTGGGTCTGGGTGGGGCCTGGGAATCTATGTTTATAAAGCACTCTGGGAGGGTCGCAAAAGCCAGCAGTTTTGGAGGACACTGGCCACACTCATCTTTATGGCTTTTGTAGTGGGAACAGCCAGGTACCCAAGAGGGGGTGGGGCCTGGCTCTGGTGGCCCAGGACTGTCTGGGGTGCCCCTGAGGGGAGAGTGACTAGAGATGGATGAGGTGAGGGTGAGGGAGGGCCGACCAGGGGAGACCCAGCAGCAGCAGGTGTGCAGGCTCTGAACCCGCCCAGGTGATGCGCTCCAGGTCCCACCAGGGAGACTAGGTGACCTGGAAGGAGGAAGGGAGGGTGCAGAGTGTCCTCTGGGTTCTTCCTGCAACAGCCCCGAGGACTGATGTTGGACGGGAACCTCTGATGGTGTCAGACTCCCTCCTGGAGCTGGAAGAGCCAATGTGTGGGTCTGAGGAAGTCAGGGAGGCTCTCTCGGATGGGGGGCTCTCTCGGCTCCCCTGTTGAGCTTGGGCCCTGGCACTCCCTGCAGAGCCCCAAGGATCGTGATCCAGGATTCTGAGAGCCTAGCGCCACTGTCACCAGCAGGCCCACCCAGCGAAAGCAGTGTCTTCAGGCCGCAGTAGTCAGCTCAGCCCCCGGAACAAATATACAGGCGGGGCCTCCAACAGCAGACGTGTATGGCCTCACAGTCTGGAGGCTAGAAGTCCGAGATCAAGGTGTCTGCAGGGCTGGTTTCCCTGAGGCCTCTCGCCTTCACTTGCAGTTGGCTGTTGCCTCCCTGTGTCCTCACCTGGCCGTACCTCTGTGTGTGTCCTAATCTCTTATAGGGACACCCATCCTGTTGGAATAGGGTCCACCTAGTGACCTTCATTTAACCTGAACCATCTCCAAATACAGCCACACCCTGAGGTGCTTGGGTTTTCATCTGGAGGGACACACTCAGCCCATGACAAGGCCTAAGCAAGAACTGCAGTGACCACAAGGCCACGGGCCTCTAAGGACAGCTCAGTTATGGCTGCAGCCGGACCCAACAGGACCCCGCCCCCGACTTTTGGTTCGATGACAGGACAGGCTGCACAAAGTGAAGGCGTCTCTAAGGACAGCTGGTCTGAGGAGACTCGGACTCGGGAGGAGCGAAAAGCGAGGAGACTCCGGCCCCAGCTCCAATGCAAAGGACACTTTTGCCTCTCACATGGGGCACCCCATGTTCCTTATGGATATGGACTAACTGGCAGGAGTGGGGGCCTTCCTGCTGGAAGGATGGGGTGGGTGGGGGTAGGAGGAGTCTGGGGAAACTCCCACAGGTGTGAGGGCCCTTCTTTAGATGGGAGCCAAGCCCAGAGTGATGGAGACACATGGGGTGTGTGCATGTGTGTGTGTCTGTGTGTGTTCGTTGCTTTCCACTTAAAATGACAGCGCACGGTCACTGCGTGTGGAAAGGAATCACTTTGGGAAATTTTTTTGTGTGTGTCCTCCCTTCTGGGGTCTAGTTTGTTCCAGAAAGAGGGAGGGCACCACCTGAGGGCTGTCTACTGGGCTCCCCGGGAGAGAACCGGTTACCTGACCACACAGGCAGAGCCCATGAGGCCACAATATCTGCTGACTTCCCCATCTGGCCACCCACCTCACCCTCTCTGTGGTCACGATGCACCTGCCAGGCCCCTGGCTGAGCCACCCCTGCCCTGAGGCTGTGGGCCCCCAGGCCTTGTCTCCTCCTCACTTTAGGGAGTCAGGTGAACACTGAGGCCTCCTGCTCCATGTGGGGTCGCTCAACTCTGGTCTCCCCAAGCCCCCAAAGACCCCATGCCTTTCCCATGGAGGGGGAGGCAGTGGGGGCGGTGCCTCCCCTGCGGTTCAGGGCCTGGTGCCACATAGAGGTGGATGCGTCCTGCTACACCTAATGCTGTTTCTCATCCCTTGGAACCAGGGGGTAGGATCCCTAAAGGACACCCCAGGGGAGCCTGGAGAGCAGCCTCCCTGGGGGGCGGGGAGCCTGGCCGAGGGTGAGGCCCCGCCTGACACCCAGTTCCCAGGAGCACTGGGGAAGGAGCCTGAGGCTCTCCACCTCCCAGCCTCTTCCCTCCTCCCTCCTTCCCTCCGAGTTCTGAAAACCTCTCCCCTCCTGCGAAGCCGGTGGAGGGACTGGAAGCGAGGACGTCACGTGTCACTTAGAGAGGAGATGGAACAGGAACAGGTGAGCCCCTGTCCTCCCCCTCATACCCCCACTCTGAGCCGCGGTGCCCCTTCTCCGCGACTCCCCACTCTGCCCGCATGGAGACGGCAGGGCCACCAGGCGCAGGGTGCTGTGTCACCTGCTCTTTATTGACTGCCACGGGCTACATTGTCAGGGGCGGCCGGACGCCCAGGAGCGGACTGCAGAGAGGAAGGAGGAGGGAGGGCGGTCTGAGAGACGCGGGCTGCTGGGGGCCAGGCACGCAGGTCTCCAAGGGACGGCCCTCGGGGGCCGGGGACACGGGGGCAGGCCCACAGCCCGGCCCCGACGCTGGTGCTGCTGCCACGGACAGATGCGCTGGCTGGGAGGCACCGGATGGCGCGGCAGGGCTGTTCTCTGGCCTCTCGGTCAGCCACGGCGGGCCTGCGTCCTCCAGGAGGACGGGCAGTTGTCTAGCGAGGCTGGGATGGCTGTCACTCCCACCAACTGGCCGGTGTTGGGGTCTGGGTCACCCTGAAGTCGCAGCACCTCGACCTACGCTCTCAAACCCTCATTCCCTCGGAGAAGAGGAGAAGGAAACGAGAAAGAGGAAAGAGAAGGAAGACAAATGCCCCCTTTCTAGGGTTCCCCCGATGGATGGTCGCAGGGGCAGCAGCAGGTGGCAGCCGACGGGAGGCCCAGCTCAGGACGAGGGGGCAGCACCGGGTTTCTCCTCCCGCGACACGGGGATGGCGCGGTCGCTGTGGCCGGCGTCCCCCCCAGATGCGACCTTGGGGCCGGAGAAGGTCAGCATGCCGTCAGCAGACAGGGAGCAGGAGAGAGCCGACTGGTCCACGCTGGAAGGCAGGCGGTAGCGGCGGTGGAACTCGCGGGAGATGTAGCCATGATCGTCCTGGGGGGTGGGGGAGGGACCGTCAAGCCACCAGCCACCACCGCGCGGCAGCAGCCCCAGGGAGAAGGGCCTCCTGGACAGCTCGAGGGTCAAGTCCATGGCCTCTCCCAGGCGGGAGCAGGGAGGCGGGGGCTCCTGGTGAGATCCCCGACCCCGACCCCGACCCCCACTCCCTCACCCCTACCGCCCTGCACAGCGGTCCTGCCCTGCGGGCCCTTCGCTGCTGAGGAGTTGGCTCCTCTCACTAATCTCCCTCTGAAATCTCATGGATGGTTCTGTTCCTGCCCTGGGTCAGGGTGTCCCTGTACCTGTGACCCTACAGACCGCTTGGGCTCGGGGTCCCTGGATCCACCTGAGGGGTCAGAAAGCCCCACCTGAGCTCAGGAACCCACTCTCCTGGACGCGCTAGCCCACATTCGCCCCCTGGGCCGCGTCCCTCCTCCGGGTGGGAAGGCTGAGACCCGCAGGGGAGGGGTGTCCTGAGCTGAGCTGGCCAAACAAGTGGCATGGACAGCGCTTCCCCTCCTCCCCCAACACCCACGGCTCCTCCAGCCATTGAAGGAACCCTGGTCTCTGACCCCGGCCACAAGAAGCTGGTGCTGCCAGCATGGTGCCCGCAGGCCCCACGTCCTGTCCACTTCACATGGGGACAGTGCATGCCTGTGACCGCCCATGGGCCCCTCCCGGCTCTGCCGGAGACCCTGCCCCTGCCAGCTCCAGTGCCAGGCGCCCTTACACCCCACCCCGCCTTGGCTGTGGGACTGGGCAGGCCAAGGGCCTCCCCGAGCCTGGCCCTGCCACCAGCCAACTCAAGAAAACGGGGCGCTGGTCGTGAAGGGCTGCTGAGAGGTGACCGTGTAAACACACACAGTGTCTGCAGCACCGATGAATGCCGGCTCTGCTGTTGTCACCACTCACCCTCCAAAGCTGGGCGCATGACAAAGCCTGGCATTTCAGCGGGTCTGTCCTAATCCCACCCCATCGAGCACACAGGTGGTCTGAAGGGAGCAGGACAGCCCCAGGCGTTCGCCAGGCTGCTGAGGACGGGACACCCCTCCTGGAGGAGCCTGGATCCGGAGCCCTGGGGCGGCCCTCTCATGGCTCGGGGCTCACCTGCCTCTCGCTGTGCTTGCCGTGGATCTCCACGAAGTCCTCCTGCACCTTCACGGTGAGGTCCTCCGGCGAGAAGTGCTTCACGTCCAGGAAGATGGCAAACTTGTCCCGGTCGGATCGGACCTGGAACCCAAACGTTCGGGTGGGTCTCCCTGGGCCGAGGCTCGGGGAGGGGACTGGCTGCTGTGGTCCCTGCCGGGCCGGCCAGAGCAGCCAGGGTGGAGTGGCCGGCGGCTCCGTCCCCAGTTATCAGGACAGACACTGCAGGTCACAGCGCTGGCCTCTCCTTAGACACACGCAGGGGACCAGGGACCGGGGCTGTGTGGACACTCGGCTGACAGCCAGACCTGGGTGCAAGGCGGTGGTGTCTGCGGATGTCTGGTTGGTAGCGGGCCCGCTGGCCGGTTGCAGCCGGGCAGCTGCTGTGGGCTGGCTGGCTGGTTGGCTACTGGTTGGCTGGCTGGTTGGTTGGTTGGGTAAGGTTGGTTGTTGGCTGGCTGTCTGGGTGGGTGGACCTAGCACCTGGACTAAAGCCGCTGCCCTGGCTTCCCCTGACCGCCATCAACAGCCTGGGGCCCTGTCCTTTCCCATCGACTGGCCGCGCCCAACAGCCCACGAGGTGGCCGCCACCTGCACACAGAGCACTTCCGGGCACTGCTCCTCACTCAGAACCTGTGTTTAGGCTGTTCTGGCCGCTGGGGTAGATCCGCGTGTGTCAGCTCTGGGCAGGCCTGCGTTCAGACCAGGGTGGGGACTGCCCAGCCCTCGGGCCGCATAAGGCCCCTGGAATCGTTTGGTCTGGCCTGGCCAAGGCATTACAGTGAGTTCATGAAACGTTCTACCAAATAGAGCAGGCTAATATTTAAGTTGGTCATTCTGTATGGCCGCGAGTGATGTTATAAATACCCAAATGGCCCCTGGCAGGAGAAAGGTCCCACCCCTGGTTTAGACGGTGGGCAGACCTGGCACCCAGCACTCGGGGCCTGGGGTCCGTCTCGGGGCGGGAAGACGGGTGGCTCTCGCTGCCTTTCCTTTGGGCCTGGCCTTGGGCACCTTGGGCCTGTGCTGGAATGAGCCCACACTCCGCCTCTCCGCTGGCTGCCCAGGGCTCCCCGTAGGCCCTCTGCTGGGGACCTGGGCAGCACCCCCCACCCAGGCTTCTGCTGCTGAACACACAGCTTGCGTCAGCCATCGAACTTGCCTTGGTGGGGTTGCTCTTGGGGCTTCCAGCCTGTGGTTGGTGCATTACAAACCACATATGGGTCATGAGCTGATGGAGGAAAAGACAGCGGTCGGGTCCAGGCTGGCTCCCTCTCAACCCCTCTCGGGAGGCACAGGAGTCTCTGCTGTAGGGGGCGCCCAACGGGCCTCTGCCGTCAGGAGGGACTGGGGCGAGGGGGAAAGCGCCCCGCAGCTGTCGCCATGCACGCCACACAGTGAGAGGAGAGCTCGGAGCTCCAGGGCAGCCCTCAGAAATCCCAGCCACTGGTCCTCCAGGCACCCCGCCCAGCCCTCCCCGACCACCCGCCTCACCTCAGAGATGCCAGAGTCCAGCACGGTGCGGAACAGGGACTGGCGGTAGTAGGGGCTGACGGTGGAGGACAGGAAGGGCAGCAGGTCGCACTCGAAGAGGCCCTCGCCGAAAAACTGGTCGAAGAGCCGGCTGGGGTGGAAGGGGCCCAGGGCGCGCCTGAACCAGGGGTGCTGGATGGCGATGTCCATGGTGGGCGTCGGGGCTGCGGGACCCGGGACTCAGCAGGCCTCTGGGTGGCACAGTGGGGAGCCGGGCACGGGGCCTCCCTATATACGCCCCGGACAGGATGCAGGCGTCAGGGGATTCGTCCGAAAGCGTGAGCTCATGGGGGAGGCTGTCCAGTCAGCAGAAACGGCGCCTGGCTGAGAGCCCGGGGAACTGACCTGCAGGCGCCCCCAGCAGCGGCTCTCCTAGCGGCTCTCCTAGCGGCTCTCGGCCACCCCTTGCCCGGGGGACAGTGAAGGCTCATCCCTGCCACCGGATGCATTCCCACTGTCTGCCTGTGTGGCCCTGTGTGGTCATGGCCACCCTCCCTGTGGTGCTCAGACCCGTGTCACAGACGAGGAAACTAAGACACAAGGCTAGACACGTGGTCCCCGACCCCACAGCTACCAGGTGAGGGCACAGTTTTTCAAAACAGAATTACCTCTATCACTTCTTCCTGCCAAAAAAAGTTATGCGCATTTGTAATTAAGAAATTTGTAATTTCTGTCTCAGGAAAGACAGGAAATACCACGCAATGAAAGGGCCTGTCATTCCAGCTCGGGGGTCCCTATCGTGGCGTCTGTGTGCATCCAGAGGGCCGGCAAGTTCACTGTTACGAACGTGGAACACCCCTGGACCTTCCTCCGTGGGTTCACCCTGGTGTCGACCCTGCTGATGTGTCCTTCCTGGGCATGACGTCCCTTAAACCAGGGCCCCGTCAGGCCTGCCACCGTCAGCCAACACAGTGATCGGCAAGGCCTGGCCCTTCTTGGCTTCTCTCTCTGTGGCCTGTCCACTTATCGCTCAGGATGCCTTCCCCGAGGGGACCTGCCACCCATCAGCTTTTTTTTTTTTAATATTTTTATTGATTTCAGAGAGGAAGGGAGAGGGAAAGAGAGATAGAAACATCAATGATGAGAGAGAATCATTGATTGGTTGCCTCCTGCACGCCCCCTACTGGGATCGAGCCCGCAACCCAGGCACGTGCCCCTGACCGGAATCGAACCTGGGACCCTTCAGTCCACAGGCCGACGCTCTATCCACTGAGCCAAACCAGCCAGGGTCATCCGTCAGCTTTTAGACGTTTGATGTTTCCCGGTGCTAGGGCTTTTGGTGTTTGTCGGTAGCGTGGCCTCTGGGGAGCGTTGTACTAACTCACACCCACCCACAGCAAAGGAAAATGCCGTCCCCACCCCCTGCGAGCTTGGTGATGGGCAATCCAGACGGTGAGAAGTTTCTTACTCATCTTTGTGCCTCCCCAGGTCAAACCCTGTGTGGGACGCACGAACCCTCACAGCCACCCTCGCAGGCCGTCCCCGTCGCAGTGTCTCCCAGCCCCGCTAAGCCTGCCCTCAGCAGCTTGGCATTCTGCAGCCCCGGTGCTGACTCGGTCCCCCTCACACAAAGGCCGCTATGTGCTTGGTCTGCAGGATTCCCGTGAGGCCAGCAGTCTGCCACGCAGGCACAAAGCCCAGCACCTGATTTTCCACCCCAGGGCCCAGCAGGGCTCACCCACAAATCCGCACTCTGTAGGCGATGGGCATTGCTGTGGGTCAGCGGGAATGCATTCAGCTAACCCAACTCCGTGAGGTCGGCAGGCTGTCTGGACAGCCCACTGCCAACCCTACCATGACCCACCATGTCCTAGAAGCCGGCCATGCCCTGCCAGCCCCTTCCAGGACAATCATTTAGCTATGTATCCATCTATCTTTCATCTATCTATCTATCTATCATTTGTCTATCCATCTGTCTATCATCTGCATATTTACCATCTATCTATTTAGCTGTCATCTAGCTAGCTAGCTGTCATCTGACCTTCTTTGAGAAACTCAGTCTTTGTTCTTGGCCTTCCACTGACTGAATGAGGCCCACCCATCATACAGATTATGGCGGGAATCTGCTTTCCTTGGAGTCACTGACTTACACGTGAATCTCATATTACACACCTTCACACGGCAGCATCTAGACGTGTTTGACCACATAGGTGAGCCCCATGGCCCAGCCAAGGTGACGTAACATTAGCCATCACTCCCGGGGGACCTCGTTGCTGTTCTCAAAGCCGTGGGGAAGGTGAGTGCTAGAGCTGAGGACAGGCCCCCTTATGTTCCGGCTGCTGAGAAATCGCCAGAACCCACAGCAGCTGCAGAGAGATGACGGTGATTCTCGGAGGAGTCGGTGTCAACCTGCTCGAGCTGGGAGCTGTCTGGGGACTCCCATGTGAGGAGAAGAAACACAAGCGGCCCCTGGTGCCTGGAACCAACCTGGCCCTCGTGGCCAGACCCAGTGGGTCCCTTGGGATGAAACCTCCCAGACTCAAGCCCAGACAAGGCTGCTCCAGACGTGATGGAAGGAGGCATAGCTGGGCCGCTGGTGATTGTGTCCAAGCCCAGAAGCAAGGTTGCTGTGCACTCACAAATCCCACCCACCTCCTCTCTTGCTGATGACGACCCACACTTCTGCTTTACCCGGCAAACTTGCCATCATCCAGTCAGGTCCCCCATGGCCCCACCCGAATGTCTCTCCATGTTGCTAAGTCCAGCGTCTGTTCTCAGGCCTCTCCTGGTCTGGCCCCTGGGCAGCTGACCAGCTGGTCACTCCCCCTTCTCAACGTGCCATCTCCACCAGACTTCTTAGGGCCCACGGTGTCCTGCTCCTCCTCCCACCTCAGCTCCCTCCTCAGGGTCTTCTCCTAGTCCCAACCATCAAAATTGGGGCACCCCAGGGATCAGTGCTTGCACCCCTCTCCTGTCTATCCACACTCCTGCCAGGTCAATCTCATCAAGTTGAATTCTCCAAATGCTGCTGGATTCTGAGCTCCCTCCTGTGTGTCTGCCTGGGGTGTTTGTTATGCAGCATTACCACAGCAATAGCTGACTGATACACAAGGACTTCCTCCCATGACATTTCACATCCTCCTTCCCTGTTGTTGTTTTTTTTTTTTCCCTTGGGTAGATGGTTAAAGCTGTTTTTGTTTGTTTTTTTTTTTTCTTTCTTTTTTTTAATTAAATCTTTATTGTTCAGATTATTACATTTGTTCCTCTTTTTTCCCCCCCATAACTCCCCTCCTCCCAGTTCCCGCCCCACCCTCCGCCCTCACTCCCCACCCACTGTCCTCATCCATAGGTGCACGATTTTTGTCCAGTCTCTTCCCGCATCTCCCACACCCCTTTCCCCCCCAAGAATAGTCAGTCCATTCCCTTTCTATGTCCCTGATTCTATTATAATCACCAGTTCATTCTGTTCATCAGATTATTTATTCACTTGATTCTTAGATTCACTTGTTGATAGATGCAACTTAAATCTTAGCACCAAACTTATAAGGGAAAAAAAAAACACCTTTCCGGTATTTATTTATTTATTTATTTATTTATTTTCTAGCAGGGAAAGGAGCATTGATGCTGTTTATATAAAATGTCAGATCTGCAATAAATTATAATTACACACAGGAACACCATCTCATTTATACGAATGGAATTTGAAGTTACTGGGGGAAAAGGACATAGAATTCTTTTCCATTTGGAATGACAAGGCTTATCTATAACACTTCAACAATTCCGGCGACTCTGAAATTTGTAAACAGCAGGGGAGTTCACCATTTCTTTCTTCACCTTCACCTTCCGAGTTTTATTCAGATCTTTGCGTGTTTGAATTTTCTGTGCAATGACGAACAATTTCCTCTCGTGTTCAATCCGCTGTGTCAGGCAGTTATATTGCTTTTGCCTTTCTTTAGCTATCCGCTTAAGTCGAGTCTGATGAGGAACTCCTTTCATTTCTCCTTCTGCAAGGTCTCTATGGGGGGCGGGGGGTCTATTAAAGACTCTGTCCACTAATTCTGGGGCAGTTCACAGGCGAGTTGCAATGTCAAACCGTTCAACTTCCTTTTTAGTGTCAAAAAAGAACACATGCTTATTCTGTTGCTTCCCCTGGAAATCCAGCAGGTGGAGCTCTTTGTCTTTTGATTTCCTTAGTTTCCGCAACCCTTTTCATTTCCATATATTTGACATCCTGAGTTCTCCTCAGTTTCAGCTGTTCTGGAGTTACTTCTTCCTTCGTCTCCGGGATAACATGACCTCCATCCTGGAGTTTAACTCGAGTCATTTTATAGTAGAATTCATCTGGATTTTTTTCAAGAGCTTTCTTTCGAAGAGCTCTGAGGTATTCTTGTTTTTTCCAGGAGTCATTTGCACTAAGTTTGTAATCTTTCTTTTTCTCCAGAAGGCCCAGATGTTTTCAAAAGCCAGGCTGGCTTCGCTCTTGGTGTTCCCGCTGTCAGAACAGCTGCCTTCTGAAAAGCTGAGACATAGCTGCTCACGCCTGGGAAAGTTCAGTAGACAACGCTGGCACCTCACCACTTCAGTCTCGAGGTCCACTGAACCTACAGGAAACAGGCCTAGCCGGCCCTTTCCGTTTTTAGAATTTTTACATTTCAGAATTCCAAATAAGGGACTGTGGATCTTTTCTACCAGAAAATCAAGGAAAAGATAGAACTGTTGTCTTCAAAGAGCCCACAGTCAATATCTAATTAGAGATGTCAATATCTAATTAGAGCCCAATTCAGTGATAAAAGTAGCTATTGTTAAATGAACCCTACTAAGTGCCAAGCTCTGTACCACTCTCAAAGGCAGGAGTTACTAATCCCATTAGTAAACTAGAGGCCCAGTGCATGAATTTGTGCATGGGTGGGGTCCCTCTGGGTGGCCTGCAGGGATCGGGCCAAAACCCACAGTCCAAAGCTGCCTGCAGCTCCTACCTGCCGCTCCCACTCATCCAAACCCCACTGTGCCTGCCGCAGGCTCATGCCCAATCAGTCCAGATCAGGAGAGGCTCACACTGCCACAGCAGCACTCGCCAGCCATGAGCCCTGTGTCTGGTGCCCTCCCAAGGGGAGTGGCCTGCAGGATTGGGTTGAAACTGGCGCTCTGACATCCCCCAAGGGGTCCTGGATTGTGAGAGGGTGCAGGCCAGGCTGAGGGACACCACTGGT